GCCCTTCACAAGTCCACTGCTGAACATAGGCCTCCCCCAAAGAATGCCACAAAGCACGGTCCTGAGCCACCTGCATCCATCGACTTCCTGCATGTCTTACCAGGTCGTCACTCCATCTCGTGGGGGGACGCCCTACACTTCGCCTACCGGTACGAGGCTGCCACTCGAGAACCTTTCTTCCCCATCGGTTGTCGGTTCTTCGAGCTATATTGCCGGCCCACTGCCACTTCAGCTTACTAATCCGTTGGGCTATGTCGGTCACTCTGGTTCTACTGCGGATATCCTCATTCCTAAGTTTATCACGCAGAGAAACTCCGAGCATAGCCCTCTCTATAGCTCGTTGAGCGACCTTGAGCTTCCTTATGCGGCCAGCAGTGAAGGACCACGTCTCAGTTCCGTAAGTCATCACTGGCAACACGCACTGGTTGTACAATTTCGTTTTAAGGTTTTGAGGTATGTCTGACGAGAAGATGTGTCGTAGCTTCCCGAACGCTGCCCAGCCGAGTTGAATCCGTCGATTGACCTCTCGGTCGAAGTTGGACTTACCTAGTCGGACTATTTGTCCCAGGTAAACATACTCGTCAACAACTTCGAGCTTAGTGCTCCCAACAACTACCGGCATAGGTGTGACATGGACATTAAACATGATCTTTGTTTTGTCCATGTTCATCTTAAGACCTATCCGTTGGGAAACACTATTGAGGTCATTGAGCATAGTGCTTAGGTCCTCCAGCGATTCTGCCATAAGGACTATATCGTCGGCAAATCGAAGGTGAGTGATGTACTCGTCATTGATGTTGATACCGTATCCTTTCCAGTCCAGAAGCTTGAAAACGTCTTCCAATGCAGCGGTGAAGAGTTTCGGGGATATGGCGTCACCCTGTCTTACACCTCTCTGCAATTGGATAGGTTTCGTACTCTGGTTCTGTACTCGGATAGCCATCGTAGCCCTACTGTACAAGCACTTCAACACTTCGATATACCGACAGTCAACTTGGCACCGCTGAAGGGACTGCAGCACCGCCCAAATTTCGACGGAATCAAAGGCTTTCTCATAGTCCACATACCCCAGACATAGTGGCAAATTGTACTCTTCGGACTTCTGTACAACTTGCCGAAGGGTATGTATGTGGTCTATGGTGCTAAAGCCCTTTCGGAAACCGGCTTGTTCGGGAGGCTGGAAGTCGTCAAGTCTGCACGCGAGACGATTCGTAATGACTCTCGAAAACAGCACGTAGACGCGGCTCAGAAGGGAAATCGGTCTGTAGTTCTTCAAGAGAGCGTTGTCACCTTTCTTGAAGAACAAGACCACCGCACTTCTGCTCCACGCCTCCGGTGTAATACCACCATGGAGGACGGAATTAAAGAGCTTCTGAAGGACTTCATGTACCGGTCTTCCACCCGCTTTCAGAAGCTCCGCTGTAATTCCATCCTCGCCTGGGGCCTTACCGTTTTTAAGGTGCTGGAGAGCCATCCTAATCTCGCTCAGACTGACATCCGGGATATCTTCGGAATAGTGTCGGATGAGACTCGCTCTTGGGTCGTTGCTCACACTTGCGTGTGGCTCCAACGATGATGTGTACAGCTGCCCATAGAACCTCTCAATCTCACTCAAAATCTCAGGTGTCCCGGAAACGATGCTGCCACATTCTGTCTTCAGCTTTGACAGTTGGCTCTTTCTGGCAGACAGATCTCTGGCAAAGACTTTGGAGCCTTGGTTCCGCTCGATCGCTTCTTCAATACGAGCTGTATTGAAGTTGCGTAAGTCCCGCCGCATGCATTTGGAGATCTGTCAGTTCAGATGCCTGTATGCTGTCAAGTCTGTTGAAGAATGTAGCTTCATCTCCCGTCTAACAGCCATGAGATTAAGAGTGTGATCGGAGAGTTTTTGTGTTCTTCTGCGGCGGGTCTTGTAGAACTTAGCTCCGACCGCATGGACAGTTTCCACGAGCTTGTCATTCATATCGTCCACTTCATTGCAGTCTTCCAGGCACTGAAAACGGTTTTGTAACTCGAGCTGAAAGGTTTCGGGACTTTGGAACAGAGCACGAGGGGGACGGAGCGTTGACTTCATTAGACGAGACCTCTCCAACTTAACGTTTAGGTTCAGTGTGCCTCTAACCATTCGGTGATCGCTACCAGTTTTCACCCTCGCGATCACGGAGACATCACTGAACAGTTGTCGTCTGGTCGTCATAATGAAGTCAATCTCATTTTTGTGGAACCGTCGGAGCTCGACCAGGTCCACTTCCTGTGGGGCCGCTTCTGGAAGAAAGAGTTCATCATAAAGAGTCCCTCTTTCTCCATGAAGTCGGCCAGCTGCTGGCCCCTTGGGTTCCGTTGCCCTATTCCAAATTTCCCTACTTTCAGCTCACCGTTCTCTCTTGTGCCTAGTTTTGCATTGAAGTCTCCCATTAACACCGTATATTGGGTTTTGGAGGAATGCATGGCTCTAGAGATATCCTCATACATTTCCTCCACCTCCTCATCGGGGTGTGCCGAGGTTGGTGCGTAAACCTGTATGACCTTCAGCGAATACCGTTTGGTGATTCTGAGTATAAGGTACGCAACCCTCGTCGACACACTCCCGATCTTTACAACGTTGTTAACGAGAGACTTGTGGACGATAAATCCGACACCTCCTTGGGACAGATGGTCGCCCTCCCGGTGATAGAGCAAGTTGCCGGATTCGAGGATTACCGTGTCCTCCCCCTCTCTTCGGACTTCGGATAATCCTATAATATGCCAGCGCAACTTGTCTATCTCTTCTTCCAGCTCCACGATCTTCTCGTCAGTCCTCAGGGTGCGTGCGTTGTACGTTGCCAGGTCGAGTCATCTAAGGTGGCAACCGAACCTCCACCGGAGATTCTTAGCACCCCCTGCCCCGCCGTTACCATGGTCGCCACCGTAGCCAGGAATAGCGGGGCCGCCGGGGACTGGGGGCCGTTTCTTTGTTACTGTCATTCATAGGGGGGTATTTGCCATAGTTGCCACGCTTGGCGAGCGGGTTGGCAACCGCAGTTTTTTATTGTAATTTGGCTATTATCAGGAAGATGCTGCTGCCCATCTCCTGCCTGTTTCCCTTTGTCGCCCTTTAACGACACCCACGGGAGGATATGGGGTAGTGGATATTCTTGACCGCCACTACACGGCACTCAATTGCTAATTCATAATGCTTGCATTAATTTCATGAAAACAAAATACTTTCACCTTTATTTTTAATAAAACAAATTTCGTGCAATTAATTTCATAGAGTTAAACGTGACGCAAATATAATGTTGTGTTATTTGTGTTTTTACATACTGTTATTAAAAAAAATGTCGGGCAGCTGAAAAAAAAAAACAGTTCATTAGTGAATATCAATGACGGCGTAAGAGAATTCACTACCCCATTATATCACCCCGTAGGTGTCGTAAAAGGCGACAGTGAAACAATGAAACAAGAGATGGCAAGCAGTATCTTTCTGATAACAACTTAAAGATAATAAAAATTGCGGTTGCCCACCGGCCTGCCCAGTGTGACACAAATGAGGCGAACTATGGTATTCGCTGGCGCAATAATCACCTAATGCCGAAACTTAAAAACAAATAATCGTACTTTTGCATATCATGGGTTTTAATTATGCCTTATCAATACATTGTAGGGTTCCGTATATAAAGGAAGGAAAAATGAAGCCCTAATAAGGTCACTCTGCTGTATGCCCATCCGTATGCATGTCACGGATCTCGAGTGCTTACACACACAGAATGATTTACACACCTGAAATTTGGATATTTTTTGTAGAATTTTAACTGAAAACCAAATTTTGTAATAAGCATAAGTAATAATTTTTATTGACATTTCTACAGTTGAGGTATTCTACATTTGATATTTGTTATAAAGAAATATAATACATCATGTGGACCATTAGTAATTAGAGATGGGTAGAATTCTGGGTCACCTAGCCTAGGTTTTTACGTGGTAGAGCCATGCTGCAGCTATATAGAAGTATAGTTGTAGCATGAATAGGTCGGCTCGACCGAGGAAGCACCACGCTCTCACAGAAAATCAGCGTAAAATAGCAGCTTAACGCTGTTGTGTTTCGTATGGTTAGTGTAGAGAGCCGATGCCCCTTTTACTGGAATCGAAGTATTCCATCTTAGTCCTTACGGGTGACAACGCATCTGCATTTTGATTCGTAGTTGAGGATAGATATAGATGTCTATGGGCCATAGCAACTACTTACCATCAGGTGGACTGTGTGCTCGTTTGTCACCCTTATTCTTTAAAAATAAAGTAGGTTACTGAATACACCACAACAAACACTAACGTGTGCCACCACCTCGGACCAACTCCACAAGCAGCACCTGTATATAAATTCATAATAATATTATAATATACTCTTCTTGGTTGATGTATAATTGTGAATGAAATTCAAAAAAATACTATAAAATCACAAATTTTTTGAGGAATTGTCAGAAACTGCTGATAGCTTTCGTCGGATGGCGGTACTATCATTCCGTTTACACAGAGTATAAAATATCCTTATATATCACTAAGGGGCTTACAATATTTCCTATGAATAAAAGGGGTATAAGACAACTAACAATTTTTTTTAGAATGTCGATCTTCCCTAATTAATTATCGAATCTCTTGAGACCGACAAATGGCGCTACATCCATTCTAAAGCTATATTCCAGCATCATGGCAGCATGGGACGAAGCACCTATAGGACTACTAAAAAGATTTTAGCACTTCCGATAAATGGCAGTACAATCATTCCATTTACGCCAGACGTAAAACGCCCAGATCGGAGACGGGTAGCAGAGTCAAAGATGCAATACGCCTGGTTCTTCTGTTATCTTTATGAAATGACATAATTTTTTTCTCACTATAACTCCTACGACATTTAGCTTTAAAGTTGGATTTTTCTTATATCCCTTTAATTTATTCAATACAATGTTATAGTTCTTTCTTACTTTTGTTAAACATTTGTAATTAAACAAGTTTTCAAATTACAGGTCGAGAGTTACCTAATGGACAAAACGTTGTATCCGTGGCTCCTATAGAAGTCCCGGATGGTAAGCATGAAATGTAAATTAAGGCACTTGAGTTAATATGAATATGCTTATACATATGTCGATACGAAACATTACTGAAACGGAATGTTTTTACACCGAGCCGTCAGTAAATTTTGTGCCTAATTTCAAGTCAATGGTGATGCGGATATAATATAAAATATGTTTATATAAAATTTCAATACTTTCCAATTAAATATTATTTGATTGTAAGCAGTCATAATGTAAAATCGTGTGGGCAACTCTGCGTTTGAATTTTGTATCAGGTATATCAATAGTGACGGTAATTATTTGTCAACTCGTAAAAGTTGCTGAATATTGACATCTCCCACTGTTGGAAGGATTTTCTTTAAACACCCTGTTTGTCAGGTTAATCGGTGGTTATTGGAGCTCCTTCTCATGTATGCAATCTTATTCCACAATCTATTTGAAGTCTTGAGGTTTTGGTTTTCCCTATGGGTATTATAACCAAACAAATTGGGGTGATCGAATTCTTATACTGACACTCGCTCTTACATGCCATTTGCATAATGTAATCAATTTAGATTTATTTAGTGTATACCTACATATTATTGTTTTTTATCCTTCGGCTTAACGTTGAGACCAGTTTTAAAAAGTTAAAACATAAAATACGTGGTAGAGCCATGCTGCAGCTATATTAGTAGTATAGTTGTAGCACGGTGAGTGTAGAGAATCAGAGACCCTTTTTACTGGAAAAGAGGTATTTCATTCAAGATGGCACTGCTGCTGCTTCTGCTTTTTTTAAATTTTTCCTCCCTCTGTAGCCTTTTATGACACCTACAGTATGATAACGATGTTGTAGACTATGTTACACGGCCACTACACGTCGCGGTGGTGTACAGTCAATAAAATTATAATTAGGTCAAAAGTAGTAAAGGTTCAAACCGAGTAATTTACCAATTTACTCGGCTTTCAAACAATCGAAGAAAATGGATTCCACACGAATAATTTATTTTCTCGAAGTCTCAGGCACTGCTTAAATTGAATAAAATAACATCATATGGATATTATGGAGTTTTCGTTTATCTTATTTTTAATATCCTACATTTACGCTTTGTCGTGTCACATTTAAAAAATAATTAGTGCAAAGCGCAAATCATTAATATCGTGTAATTTATGCAATCACAAATTCTATTTACCTGAAGGTAAAGTAATATTAGTAACTAATATCAATAACGGTGGTACAACAATGGATTCCGATGCCGTCAGCTCAATTGATCAATCTTCGTTTGAATAATGATTTAAACGACATTTACACAAATTTGTGCTGTTTATATTTAAGCAAACACGGAGACATCTTTCGCTAATGCTGCGATCGAAATATGCGCCGAGGACTTAATTTTTTAAATTTTTTTTTATATGATAATGTGACAAACGAGCACACAGTCCACCTAATGGTAAGTGGTTGCTGCAGCCCATAGACATCTATGGGCTGCATTGTTTGCGAATAAAAATGCAGATGCGTTGGCACCCGTAAGGACTAAAATGGGATGCCGTGCCGTGTAGTATCCGTGTAACATAATCCACAATGTTGTTATCATAATGTAGGTGTCATAAAAGGCTACAGAGGGAGGAAAAATTTAACAAAAGCAGAAGCAGCAGCAGTGGCATCTTGATAAGAACTCAGAATAATAACCTGCGGTTGTCAACCCACTTGCAAAGCGTGGCAAATATGGCAAATGTAGCCTATTTTTGGATGTGGACGAAAACTTATATATTCCGTACGATTTAAACCGCCTTACTTACCTAAATTTGTTAATGTTTAGTACCATAGAAATTGTAAAGCTATATAATATTTTCTTTATAAAAAGGTTAAAGTAACACAAAATTTGTCCAGCTGCTTTAATTAGGCCAATTATGTGAAACTCAAAACTCTAATTTTGTGTCCCAAATTATTTTCTTTGAGTAGAAAGTTGAAGTAATGTTAAAGATGTTGGAATTTTAGTTTTAACGACTTTGTGTAATTGGGTGTTTTTTTACTGGACTATCAAATAAATAATTAGATGTATTTGAATTAAAAATATATTTTTATTTTATTTTATGAGCCATGGTCGCTCAAGGGCAGGTCATAGGCTTATAATTTCATAGAACAGGAGCAAACATAGTTAGATCTTCTACAGCACTACTGAAATTGGACGTAGTTATGCAAAAAGGGTCCAACCCGAGTTTGTGTGAAAAATGTTGACTTGAAAAATAATGTTTGTGGTCTATACTATTATGTGATATAACAATTTTAGCAAAAGTAATACAAATAAGAAGAAAAATTACAAACAGACAGAAACCATACCGATAATTTGAGTTTATGATATTTGAAGTATGGATACTTCAAAGTTCAAATATCATAAACTCAAATTAACTTATCGCGGGTTGGATCCTTTTTGCATAACTACGTCCAATTGTGGAATGCGATATCAAGCTTTAATTTGCCAAATGCGCGTTGAGGAAAAATAATGTGAAGATACATGCATGTCTGAGAATTAAAAAAAAAACGCTTTTGGTGCCTTAAATTCTTACGTCATACATTTATGTGCTATTATTTGAATGAAATTTATAGATGCGTATTTTAGCTATAACCCTAAATAGATTGCATATAAAAAACACTTACAACGAAGCAAAAAGTGCCCGCCACTTTGTAAAAGTTCGTTTTAGCTATTTTTTTAGCGTTAAAAGAGTGATATAGGGAGAAACCACTATTTGTCGTTGGTGTGTTCGACATAAATCACGCACCCCACCTCGGAACGGGCGGTGTCGGCAGACGCGCCGGCACCTATACACCATTGAGTAGATAGATCCTCGCCCAGACGAGCTCAACCCATCAACTTATTCCATAAAAAGTTTTACGGCATGTAAACATGTTTACATCCTACATAATGCTGGATATAAAACATCAATATTTTCTTTCAGAATCAATGTATCCACGATTTGCGGAGCCAATCCCTAATGTCACGGTCACAGTTGGCAGAGATGCATTGCTCGCGTGTGTTGTAGATAACTTGAGAAGCTTTAAGGTAAATAAATTTCAATTTTTTTTAATTTTTTGTCTTTAAAATCCAGGTGCAGTTTTTTTAAATACCTATAAGGGCAGAATTAATGTAATAATAACTTAATTTAGAGTAAATAAGAACTTTTTTATTTTGTAATATAAGTGATAAAATAGCTAACAACAAACCAGAAAATAAATGGTTATTGTAATTATAGTGGCTGTGTTTTCCTTCTAATCGGTAAAAAGCAAAGGACCTATTGCTGGTTAGTGATAAAAATTGGAGGTAAAAGAGTGTTAGCAACCTGGGCGGACTCCTAGACCCTATAACCTTGTAAAGTTTATGAGTTAAAAGTATATATTGCCTTTTGCTTTTAAAGTGTTATGGATATTCTTTCATATTTTTTTCTGTCAGGTGGCTTGGGTGAGGATGGATACACAGACTATTTTAAGTATTCATCATAATATAATAACGCAGAATCCACGAATTAGCCTCTCCTATAATGACCATCGCTCTTGGTATCTTCACATTAAAAACGTGCAAGAGGTAGATCGTGGGTGGTACATGTGCCAGGTTAACACTGACCCCATGCGATCTAGAAAGGGCTATCTCCAAGTCGTAGGTAAGTTGTTTTATAGGCATTACATTCTCAACTTCTCTTTGTGACTTACCATTCATTATTTTTATATTTTTAAAACAGTACCGCCTTCGATTATCGATAATATGACATCTACGGACATGGTTATTCGCGAAGGCAATGACGTAACCTTAGTATGTCGTGCTTCTGGATATCCTGAACCATACGTAATGTGGAGACGTGAAGACGGACAAGATTTTAATTACAACGGAGAATCAGGTATTTCATTCTAACCAGCACATTCTGTGTCGAAACTAATTTTTGATTCTGGTTATAGTCCATAGCGCAGCTCTGTTCATCATAAAAGTATATTACATATATTTTAGGAACTTCACTTATTAATGTTTGAAATAGAGAAAAATCACTTTATATGTTACATAATATATGAAAACTTTTCTAACTTTACTTACGACGTTTTCTAACGTTACAGCTATGATTATATTATTATACTTTTAAAACTGTAAAATAAAGTAAAAATGCATTTTAAATATTGCGCATATAAAAACTAAATATGCTTGCATTTTTTATTATTTTCTCAAAAATTTGTCTATTCCTCTGCTTTAGTTTTACCTATTTTCATAAGCAGCTTATTAGTTGTACACTAGCGTAACGGTTGCCCTACTGAGTGAAGCTGCTGCCAAACCACGCCGGATAAATTTTGAAGCCCCATTTCACCCTATTTGGCGGAATGCAACTCAGATGGCGTATTCAGTATCGTGTGTGCCGCATTTGGCTCTTGCATTGAATTGTGTAATCACGAAAAGAGGTACTTAAGATCGATTACTACTAGAGACTTCATTTGCAAACATTCCATTAGTACAAATTGAATAGTCGGGACAATTTTGTGAATTTTCTATTTGGATCTAAGTTTTTATTTTTTATATTTAGGCGCTGATGCTCTGGGTTAAAACTTATCAATTTTTCTGTAAATATAAAATATTAATTTTAAATAGTATTATATGTTATAATTATTTAGTATTAAGGTTTGGCTCAGAAAAATAACATAAAACCACCTAGGTTTTATAATAACATATTTTTCTGTAACTAAATATATATTTTTGCGATGGCTGACAATTCAATACAGCTCACACTACACGCGAGGTAAGAGTGACTCTCTAACACCATAAAACGCCAAAGTCCTGGTAAGTATGATATACCAGCAAAGCTTTTGAAAGCAAGTGGTAGGCCGGTTCTTTCAGTCCTTCAGAAGCTGTTTAATTTCGTAATACAGGATGGTGATATTCCGGAAGCGTAGAACAGAAGTGCGTTGTCTTTTTACTCAAAAAAGGCGACAACTCTTTATTCAGGAACTACTGACTTCTCGATTACTCTTCCTCTGAGCATGAGCTCATGTTCACACGAACATGGTGTTTTCAAAAATCATTACAAATCGTCTCGCACGCCAATTTGACGACTTCAAGCCTCCCGTACATGCCGAATTCCCTTTTGGCAAATTGTACAGAGTACGGAAAAGTTCAATCTGCCACTTTATCTTGCGTATGTGGAATATAAGAAAGTCTTTGATTTCGTTGAAATTCGGATAGTGCTACACACCCTATAGCGGTACAGAGTCTACTATCGGTACATCGATATATCTATCTATTCATATATAATATAGTATAACAAGTACGAGAGTTGTAAAACAAGATGACGTTATATATCCGAAAATCTTCAATTCTGCATTGCAAGAATTTTTCAAGCCACTTAACCCTTTGACTTTGACTTACCGAAGATACGACCAATACGTACCATTGTTGAATTGAAATATTATGTATTTTATGCTAGAAGAATGTATGACTACTTTTTTCTGGACTTTATTAACTCGTTTTATTTATTTCCACAGTGAGTGTTGTAGATGGTGAAACGCTTACAATAACGAAAGTTTCTCGTCTACATATGGGTGCTTACCTATGTATAGCATCTAACGGGGTGCCTCCATCGATTAGTAAGCGAATCATGCTTATGGTTCAATGTGAGTATTACCCCGTTTTTACCTAGTCTATTTAACCTAGTCAATTTTATAAGTATCTAATTTGTAAATCTTAAATAATTAAACTTATTATTAAATTAAAAACTATAATAAACAAAACTAAAACAAACTAGGGTATACAAATAATATTATATATAAATTATAAAAAAAAAACTTAGGCTATTGGTCCGTGGGGTCCATGTAAGGTGAAGTTCCTAAAGGAACTATAACCGCGACTGGTCGTCGCTGATGGTGATAAGAGAGCTGGTTCTTTTCTCGCTCAAAGGCTATGTATTCGTATAGCGTTCTCTGCACGATATCACGGGGAGATAGGACTGTATGATAATTGAAGTTATTAGTTTTAGTTTTTTTTTATATTGTATATTTTACTACTAAGTAAAATTATATAAGATTTATCAATAATACTAATAAACATTTGTAAGCAAATATTAAGCATATTTTGATATCATACCCTTTCTTGTGGTACAATATGAGAATCGGCTTGTATCAGGTAACAGGATTTATAAGGTTTAATTACTTAGTTACCAATACCAAATTAGCCGGATATAGCAGAGAGCATGATTGTTTTGCATGAGTAGGGTGCGAAGGTAATATTGTGTACCGTATTTTATTAAACGAGAAGAACCCTACTAAATTTAGGACCTTACCATAGATTTTATTCATTGCTAGATATTCCCTAGTATTAATTTTGTCGCAAATGGTTGTCATTAATATTTTAATACTTATTATGTGAGTTGCTGATAACGTGAAACAAAGGTATTGCTCAAGTATTATTAATTAAACGAATTTAAATAAAAACATATATATTATACAATACATCATGATTATATAACATTTATGATACTGTAATTTCTACACTCACTGAATAAATATTAACAAACAAAACAACGCGTAGTGCCCTTTAGTTTACCAACTACTTTACAAACTCATTACTCATTATGCCTTCTGACGTTATAAAATTGCCTACGTTTATTTCTACACGAGCGACATCACTAACCTTTTGCCGAATTGTATTGTACAATTGTGTTATTTAGGAAAGAATACTATGAAATGCCAACAATGAACGGGAAAATGGAGCATACGTCTTTGACTTTTAACTGTAAGTCTTCTTTGTGTAGATGTAAAAAGTCACAGAAAGTACTTGTATTAGGACATATTTTATCCGCTTTTGTTGAAATATACTATATACTTCAATATTATTATTATATACTTCTTAAAAAAATATTAAATTTTATTAATATACTATGTTCTACCTACCACTGTAATGCAACATCAGTCTTATAAAAGTAATGGGTTTGTTTTGTTGTTTTATTTAACTGTACAAACATTTCTGCTCTCTTTTTATTCCGAATCCTAATAAGACAAAATAATTGATTTTATTTATCTAATGTAATTTTTCAGTGTTAAATATAAGCTAAATTACACACATATGTTTGGAGGCGCTTTTAATTAATTATGTTTCCCGGTACTGGATACAATATGATCCAACTGGTTATCTTTTGATATAATATTATTAATTTGTGTTGTCACTCGAAATTATTTAAATACGTTTATCAACAGTTCCGCCAATGCTGTCAATTCCTAATCAATTGGAGGGTGCGTACATTGGACAAGACGTGACGCTCGAATGTCACACAGAGGCCTATCCGTCGTCTATTAATTATTGGACTACCGACCGTGGTGACATGATTATATCCGGTGAGAATATTAGTATATGATATACAGTTGCATTTAGGTATCGCATACTTTATCATCGACCTATTGAGGGTTTAACATTTTATTTTAGTTAATACTCAGAAAGTATATACGTGGTAGAGCCATGCTGCAGCTATATTAGTAGTATAGTTGTAGCACGAATGGGTTGGCTCGATCAGGGAAGGACCACGCTCTCACAAAATACCAGCGTGAAATGGCTGCTTGACACTGCTGTGTATCGTATGGTGAGTGTAGAGATGCGGAGACCCATTTTACTGGAAAAGAGGCATTCCATCTTAGTCCTTATGGGTGACGACGCATCTGCATTTTGATTCTTTATTGAGAATAACTAAAAAAAAAAGCCACAGCAACCACTTACCATCAGGTGGACTGTGTGCTCGTTTGTCACCCTATCCTATTAAAAAAAACTCTTAAAGTGGCTAAGCGTTTGGCGGACGTGCTGCATCGCTTCGGGTTCGACGCAGTGTTGAGAAATCAGAAAATTGTAATATGTAGTAATTCTGATTATTTATCATTTTGGCTTCTCATACGAATTCTGTACTATCGGTTTAAAATCGATACACATATAAACCTATGTGCCTACATTAACACTGGGCTATGAATTGATACATTCTGAATTATCAAAGTTTCTGGATTTCATATTAGAGATGGCAAGCTGTAATTGAACGCAGATACGTTTATCATTATCGATAAAATAACAAGTTTGTCTGTCTTTTTTGTACAATTCTAATTGATTTTTTATTTAATCAAGAAAGAAACGCAAACATTTTAATGTATATGTGCTAATTTATGGGTACCTATAGAGGGAATAACAATTATTTTAAAAAGAAAAAATACCTATTCTACTTAGAATTCATCTAAAGGTTGCAAGATTATTGTTTGATTAAAAATTCAAATACCACATTGTGTTACTGCCAATATTAATTTTACGGCCCATTATTCACAAACAGTTTTTATTTGATGCAAAAATGAAATTATTGAAAATGAAAATTCACCTTTGTAACAAATTTTAATAAGCAAAATAACTCACAGTGTATTTATGTATATTATGTTTATTTAAGAGCCGTCGCAGCTCAGAGAATTAGAGCTCGCGTTCTGTGAATTTTATCGTCCGGGTTCGATTTCTGTCGGCACCAATGAAATTGTCAAATGCAGTTTTAAGTGCTGAATTGCTTACCACGTCTTAGTGCCACGTCCTTAGTGGTGAAGCAAACATCGCGAGGAAACCTGCATGTCTGAAGAATAAAATATTTCGAAATCATATTAAATCCACCAACACGCATTGGAGCAGCATGGCGGACACTTCCTTACCCTAAACCCTCCCAGAAATGAGAAGAGGTCTGTGCCCAGCCTTCAGACGATAAATAGACTATAGCTCTACTTTACAATTTCTTTTTAAAATATTGTGTAAAAAAAAATTCCTACGTATGACATATAATAGTGTTTAATCTTATTTTTTTTATTAATGACGAAAACTTAAGCAATAAAATATTTGCTACCCAGCAAACGTACAGGTTTTATATTTAAGTAGAAATGGAAATTGTAGGTGGCAAATATGAAGCATTCCCAGTGGATAGCGGCTATAATAAGTTTATGATGCTCAAGATACGGAATATTACCAAGGAGGACTTCGGCTTCTATAAATGTATCGCTAAAAATTCCTTGGGGGAAACTGATGGCATCATCAAATTAGATGGTATGCTTCTAATTCATTATATTTGGAATTTTAATGTTGCAAAATATTTTTATAGATATGTGTATTTTTTATTTTTTAGTGATTGATGCGGCAAAAGTTTATCCTGCAAAATGAAATCATTTTAACTCCTTTCGTATTACTTTTATTTTTTTTTTCAATGAATTATACAACTATCAATTGATTTTTACCTTATTTTTTACTTTTCAATCATTTTTGAAGTGACAACTTCTTTAAATATTGTTTTAGGTTATTAGACTAAAGGTTAGTGTAAAAATAAGAACACTCAGAATAAAATTAAACTTTTATATTATATTTTATGCCGCACTTCTGATTGAAAACGATCATATTAAATAAATCATTTGTCGTAAAATATTTTTATTTTATATTTCATTTCACTTCTACCGTATGTGCAAAGCAACATGTTTTTATTTATACCTAACGTAATATATAACAATGTAATTAATGGGACTATTTAGTAGTAGTAAAACTGTTAAACGTAACTATTTTCTCTTGTTTTTAGACATAAAACGACTATAATGATTCAATCAATAATAATGATTTTTTATTTTATTAAAAATACTTATTACTGTATTTTGACCGTTACAAAACGGGCGACCTGCGGAATTTATGTCAGCCTCACTTCTCCGATCAAAAAAAACTTTATTTTGAAACGAAGATGAAAATGCGAGCATATCATAGCTTGCAGAAATGAATTGTCAATCAACTACCAGCAAACTATCAGCATGAAATTTGCATGTCATTCGAATCTATTAATATAATTAACGCTGCATAACCACTTACCATCAGGTAGGATGGTAGTCAAGAATTGGCTTAGAATATTTAAAAAAAACAATTATGTATACATGGCAGCACGTTAAGAAAGCTATGCCGCATTACCGCCCAAGTGCCACACAGGCCTTGACCTTGTTGGAATTAGTTAGGAGAGAAAGAATAAATATGCATTTAAATTTAATTAATATATTTTTTTTAGAAATCCCAGCACCTCCATCTGCGTTTACAACGACACAAAAATCTGTATTAGACAACCAGACGATACGAAAAAAAGGTATAATAAATTTTTAGTATTTAAATCAAGCAAAACGTTTCAGAGGAAAATCAATATTCATTTTACAATTTTTATAAAACAGGTCAGCTGCCAATTATCGAAACAAACGACGCGATAACCTCAAATTTTCAAGGTGAAGCTTATGGCGAACAAATACGAGATTTCGGTAAGGGTTTGTTATTAGCTAAGCTGCTACAATGTCGAGTTAGTGGCAAGCCCAGTGTTGCAACTATGGCAAATATTCGCCCTCCCCCATCCTCTATATCGGCAATCTATGGAAAGGCTATGCACAGCTATGGACTTTCGATGGTCTGTTACAATTAATGATAATACTGGAGTTCAATGAAACTTAATAAACATCGTCGTATTGTGGCAGTGTAAGAAAACCCAATGTGTTCAACTGAGGAATTCTGATGTGCTGAAATAATGATTGAACCCTAAAAATAATACATATTATGTGTTTTTGCACAAATGACAACACTGACTTGGATTCGAATTTAAGATTCGTGCAGCCGCAAGTAGACGGTCCGGCAGACGTTGGTCCACCCTTTTCGGTAGGTTGCGTGATAAATTTCACTCTGAATTAACTTTCGAATTTTGGCAGAGTAAATAAAAGCAACCACAAATCAACACCTATCTGGTTCAGATTTTGTGATTATTTTTTAAAACATCTGATTATTTTATATTATGAATAATAGAAATTCATTAAAATTTGTTAATTATTTGACTGTAGCATCATCTATCGAATTATAGCGTGTTATAAAACATCCTCTTGACAAAACAAATACGTTTATTGTATTTCATAAAGTGTGCATTTGACTTCAGTAGGTTACGTTGTTCTGAAGGGTTGGAACGCACCAATGATTATAATTTTGATTAATTTTTATTTCAGATTTCGACGAAGAAAATTATGCGCTCACAATCAAGTTGGATAGAATGTTGTATAGTGTATTAATTTCACATTTAATTTCAATAGCCAAACATTTTTTGCTTTCTTGATGAAAATAATGTTTGTTGAACGACTTCAATTTAAACTTCATATTGCAGAGTAGCTGATTTACTATCATTTATAATAATCTCTTTCTGAAGCTGACCAGACAATAACGTATTAAACAGCGACCCTTACAAAATAGTAATTGTTGTCTTGCGTTCGCACATGTAATTTGTGTGTACTTATATTTGGCTTATTTGAGTTACTAAATCCCTTATGGAATTTAACGTATTTGGTAAATAAACTGCATTAGCAGCTAGCTCAATTTATTTACCTTTCCGTATTTTTTTTAATATTTGTAGTATACATGATTTCATTAATTACCGTCAGAACATAATCAAAAATTACTTTTTATTTAAATAAGATATAAACAATAGTAAAATTCTGTTCAAAACTTACTTCAATATGTTTACCAGTTATTAATATACCTATTTGAAATTACTTGGTAAAAATATGTGGGAACTAACACAACTATTTGCTAAATAAAATGAGAAAGCATAATCCTTGTTCGCAAAAGAGAAGAGAAGAATTAGAACGAGAACAACACGTGCAACAAGAACAAGAAAAAGAAACAGTGCAGAAAGTTAATTCTCACCATTAGCACAGTGCAATCAAATATTTATATGAAGACTTGCTATATTTTATTGTTTTATATCTGACTAGATTTATGACAACACAAATGCAAACCAATTCATAATGTTTTATGAATTTACTATTTATTAAAAATTTATTGAATGTCTGATTTTGTAGACCATTGCGAATAATATATTAATATATTCTGTTTATATTGTTTTTATTTATATTATAAAATAAAATATTCTTTTCATACTATACTACTTCAAAATATTCTGCTACATCGATTGAGTAAGAATTTATTTAAATTAGTTCCTATTGTATGTAATAATGGTAATTGTTATTTTTGTGGCTAAATATTAATATTTAATGGTATTTTTTGGTTAATATGAATTAGAAAATGGATTTATGATAAATTATAGAAGATATATTAAGCTTACATAGACATTAATTTTCTAATACAATTTAGCGCTGTCACAACGCATTAAAATTTTGATCTGAATTATCAATGTTTTTACTTGTTTAGTGATATATAGTTACTTTTTATGTAGATATTCTAAAATAAAAACAACTTCAAATATTTATACAACTCAATAATACAAACCGGTTGTTACCAATGTTACCACTTAGTCAATAAACATACCTGTTTTTTATATGTATATTGTTCTAATTTTAAACTTGAAGACTTATCGCCTAAATCTCCTTTACATATTAAAACATGCTGTAAATGTTAGTAGATTAGAACGTATCACTTATTAGGAAATAATAGACAAATTTTGTAAATTATTTACTTGCTAAAAGATTAAAAATGCCAAATAACTGTGTAAAAAAAAACAAGGCTTAAAGTATCAGTGTGTTTTATTGTCCTTTCTCTTGTAATGCTACTATTATGCTCAGCTTTAGAAACGGTATCCCCAAATATTGATTTCTTATTATCAATTAAATATGTATCTAAGATCATGGTCTTTGAAATATCACAAATATTATTAAAAAAAAAACCGGCTAATTGCGTGTCGGGCCACGCAAAATTTAGGGTTGCGCAGTTGCCCGACACAATACGTGGGCTTTCTTGATAATGAGCACAATAAGTGAGTTCGTGGCCTGTCCGCTATAACGACTAAAAATGGGCCCAAATAGGTAGATTGTAACAGAAGGACTTATTTTCAAATCAGACTTATAGAGAGAGGTATTCAAAAAAGATCAAAAAACTTTTCGATTTTGAAAATAATACCACTTAAATCAAATCATTCACATGCTAAGGCACAAAGATAATCATAGTTGACTAGCTATCTATATATTTCCGGTAGTGCAACCCTAAAATATATATATGTGTGACCGTAACGAACCTTCACGTAAACCACTACTGCCTTAAATTATCCTGAGGTCGCCCGCGTAAACCAAGAGTGTGACGAATGAAATTGTCTGTGAAAATGAGGCTATATGATTTTATGAATACTTCAAATGAGGATTACAATAACTAGTAAACTAAAATATCAGTGAAATTAGTAAGTAAGTCAGAAAGATCCTCCCTGCCTATCCCGCAAATGAAAAAAGTAAAGCTGTAGTTGTAATGCATATAAGTCGTTATCTTCATATAAAATGTTTATTTTTAATACTTTACAATAACACTACAAAATTATGATGCAGCTACTTTTAGATCAAACTGATCTAAAAGTAGCTGCGTGCATGATAGAATTGTAACGAAAATTTTACTAATCTAAGTACATTTAATAAATTTGTAGATTATTACTCGTTAACCTGTTAATTCTACTTAGCTATGATAGTTTTTCTTTTATCTTCATTATATATGCTACTATCGTGTATACTTTTCACATTTCCAAAAACAGCGATTTAGTTGGTAGAAGGGGGGACACATGACTCTAATGAAAAATACCACTTTAAAGCCAAATATTTCTTAAACGGACCCCTGAATCGAAAAGATGCTGTTCCGTACTCCCAGTGTTTCTAAAAGAACTATCCAACGATACCCCACATGATGGAATAGAAGGGTAAAAAAGAAATCATCTTCCATTTAGTATGGGAAGTATCTAAAATATAAATGTTTTTAAAGATTTTATTGCACAGTATTATAGGCGTAATTAATATCTATAGCTATGCCAAATTACAGATTAATGGCACTTAGGGTCTCGACTCGACCTGCCAACGTACAACGCACGCACCCTGAGGACTGACGAGAAGATCGTGGAGCTGAAAGAAGAGATAGACAAGGTACGATGGCATATTATAGGATTATTCGAAGTCCGAAGAGAGGGGGAGGACACGGTAATCCACGAATCCGGCAACTTGCTCTATCACCGGGAGGGCGACCATCTGTCCCAAGGAGGTGTCGGATTTATCGTCCACAAGTCTCTCGTTAACAACGTTGTAAAGATCGGGAGTGTGTCGACGAGGGTTGCGTACCTTATACTCAGAATCACCAAAAGGATGGAATTACAGCGAAGCTTCTGAAAGCGGGTGGAAGACCGGTACTTGAAGTCCTTCAGAAGCTCTTTAATTCCGGCCTCCATAGTGGCATTACACCGGAGGCGTGGAGCAGAAGTGCGGTGGTCTTGTTCTTCAAGAAAGGTGACAACGCTCTCTTGAAGAACTACAAACCGATTTCCCTTCTGAGCCGCGTCTGCGTGCTGTTTTCGAGAGTCATTACGAATCGTCTCGCAAGCAGACTTGACGACTTCCAGCCTCCCGAACAAGCCGGTTTCCGAAAGGGCTTTAGCACGATAGACCACATACATACCCTTCGGCAAATTGCACAGAAGTCCGAAGAGTACAATTTGCCACTATGTCTGGCGTATGTGGACTATGAGAAAGCCTTTGATTCCGTCGAAATTTGGGCGGTGCTGCAGTCCTTTCAGCGGTGCCAAGTTGACTGTCGGTATATCGAAGTGTTGAAGTGCTTGTACAGTAGGGCTACGATGGCTATCCGAGTACAGAACCAGAGTACGAAACCTATCCAATTGCAGAGAGGTGTAAGACAGGGTGACGTCATATCCCCGAAACTCTTCACCGCTGCATTGGAAGACGTTTTCAAGCTTCTGGACTGGAAAGGATACGGTATCAACATCAATGGCGAGTACATCACTCACCTTCGATTTGCCGATGATATAGTCCTTATGGCAGAATCGCTGGAGGACCTAAGCACTATGCTCAATGACCTCAATAGTGTTTCCCAACGGATAGGTCTTAAGATGAACATGGACAAAACAAAGATCATGTTTAATGTCCATGTCACACCTATGCCGGTAGTTGTTGGGAGCACTAAGCTCGAAGTTGTTGACGAGTATGTTTACCTGGGACAAATAGTCCGACTAGGTAAGTCCAACTTCGACCGAGAGGTCAATCGACAGATTCAACTCGGCTGGGCAGCGTTCGGGAAACTACGACACATCTTCTCGTCAGACATTCCTCAAAACCTGAAAACGAATTTGTACAACCAGTGCGTGTTGTCAGTGATGACTTACGGATCTGAGACGTGGTCCTTTACTGCTCGCCGTATGAGGTCGCTCAGCGAGCTATGGAGAGGGCTATGCTCGGAGTTTCTAATTCTTTTCGGATAAACTTAAAAATTAGGATATCCGCAGTAGAACCAGAGTGACCGACATAGCCCAACGGATTAGTAAGCTGAAGTGGCAGTGGGCCGGCCATATAGCTCGAAGAACCGACAACTGATGGGGAAGAAAGTTTCTTGAGTGGCAGCCTCGTACCGGTAGGCGAAGTGTAGGGCGACCCCCCACGAGATGGAGTGACGACCTGGTAAGACATGCAGGAAGTCGATGGATGCAGGTGGCTCAGGACCGTGCTTTGTGGCATTCCTTGGGGGAGGCCTATGTTCAGCAGTGGACTTATGAAAGGCTGTAATGATGATGATGATGACGTTCTCTGAGCAAAACCGCGGACGGACGGACGGACATGTTGAAACTATAAAAATTACATAACAAGGAACCCTAAAAAACGTAACTAAACGCAATTTAAATGTAAACTGACAAAATGTTTCATTTTGCATAAGTCACAGAGCACTGTAATAAATAAATAGCCTATAAAATGGCTGAATGGGCGGTTAAGTAATTAGTTCAGTAATTCTCGGCGAGCGGTTCTGTGAAATTTGGCAAAAATGTGAAAGCACGTACCAAGTAATATCAGCAATAGTAGGTAATAACTTGCGGCTTGGGTGACGCTTGGGCCATCTTAAACGTGCTGACATTTATTTGTATAATTTATATATAATTCGGAATTATATATAACATGATTTCATACCGACTAATTCTCATTTAACAAATTCCCATATGTGATTGCTCAATCGATTGTTCCCGCTATCATGATGTAGCCCATTTGAATTTTTATTCCCTTCTCCTTGTTTTTTTTGACTGCTATTTATAACTCCAAACATGCATTTGGCATTTTCTTACTAATCGAGTAC